ACAAAGACGAAAAACATTTACCTTGAATACTTTGTCGTGGCTTAGGCATGTTTTTAAAACAATTAGACCAGTTTATGCTTCAATATTACTCTTTTAAAGCGGAAAGTATAGCGAAACAACAAAAATACCGAGAACGTTGCAGTACGCGTGACGTCACGGTTGCAACCAGGTTTTTGCTTACGTCAGCTAGAGTCCTATCCATTTATTTTATTATCCATGGTAAAATAAACTTCATAACAAACTGATTTTCTTTCAGGTTAAAGAGTTACTCGATCACAAGAAACATCACAAGGAAAATTCTGAAACAAATGGCTGTCCTAATTGCCAATTAGTCGCTGGGATTTGGGATTATCATAAAAGAGTGTGTCCAACTGGTGACTGCTTTTTTTGTAGGTAAGTACTGTACATATGGTATTATACATTTCGGTCAACGGTTATAGTATAACCATAAAAACTATCAAACAGTTTAGTATGAAAATTGGTGGAGATGATTAGTAGCCCGTTTGCTGTCCTTGGCAAAAGCGTAGCCTCAGGGGATCTTCCCCCCACTTTTCCCTAGGCCCCATTTTGTAATTCCTGCAAAATGAGGAAACAGCTGGCCAAGATTCTTTTTATTTTTAATGTAACGGAAACGAACAGATCTATTCGTCGCGCAATTAAAGGCGGTGCAAATACAAAGAATGTTCAATTGAGTTGTTAAGAACTGATATAATAGAAAATAGCATTTTAAGCAGAAGTTTACGAAGTATATCGGTAATTTGATTTTTTATTTGCTCTGTCTTCTTTAGATCAAATAAAGAAAATGAAAACGATGACCCAGTTTCACAGAATGAAACAATCACTGACGTAATAAAACAAGTACGTACAGTATTGATAATTGCGACTGTAGTTAATCGCATCCAATAATATTTATATTGACACTTAAATAACTTTATGGACGCATTTGCTTAGACTTTGTCCATTTGGCTGCCTTTCTTGCATATGTTGCGTCACAGCTCTCTCTCTCCTTCCTCAAAGATTTTTTAACATGCAGTATATTGTAGAGTTCTAAAACCATCGAAGGAACTAGATTCTGTTCGAAGGAACTAGATTCTGGTCCGAAATATCACATCCTCGAGCCGATCTGACCGCGTTGCTCAGTTGGAAGAGCATTGGGCTTGTATTCCAAAGGTCGTAGGTTCGATTCCCACCGTGGTCAGACATATTTTTCAAGCTTGCCCGGTGTGGATATACACTGGATATATACAGTGTGTACATGTTGCATGCCTCATTCCCTGCCTCATTCAGTGCAAAATATCGCGAGATCAACTTTTTGCGACCACTTTCTTTTGAAATACGTTCAGTCAACCTGTTCCATTGCGTTTGATTGCTTGTATTTCAAAATAAGTGATCGCAAAATATCGATCGCGCGACATTTTGCACTGAATGGAAATCCGCCTTTATGCAGGCCTTAAAATATCGGCCGATCACGTACATTGTCCGACCCATTCGTGAATTTGTACGACGTTAAGAAGAAACCACCGGACATTCTGTCCGACCAAAGTGAAACTCAGGTTTATTGTTTGTCCGACCCGAGTGTATTGCTGTCCAACCGAACTGTAGCTTTGTCCAACGTAAATCAAAATTAACCTAGTCCAGGACTAGAGGCTCTTACGTTAATTGGAGGATCAGATTAGTTTATAAAACGTGAACTGGTAATGTTGTTTTAATGTAATCAAGGGCGGGGAGGCGAGCGAAGTGAAGTAGAAAAGGGGCTTAAGTTGTGGAACTGTTACTGCTGTTCTTGGCAAGCAAGTTAATTTTGGCTTGGAAATAAATATGAATGACACAAATTATTTAATATCTTCACAACATTTGCTGTTCAGAATTATGTGTCATTCAGACTTATTTCCGAGCCAAACTGAACTGAAGGTCATCGGATATCAACACACATATGTCCGACCCAAACTCAAAGTCCTCGGACATTTTGTCAGCGGCCCTGTTATATTTTAAGGCCTGTTTATGGTGCGCAAGCGCTTATAAATTTTGGTATAACTGGCCTGAAATTTAAAATATTGATGCAATAAGTTTAATATCAATATATTTATTGAAAAAGAGATATTATGTCAAAATAAGAAAACTTAAGATTCTCACACGAATAGGCAACGTTTGTATGAGTGACTGTTCATCTGTAGTTGCAAGGGACGGTAATAACAAGGTCAAGGTCAGTATCACTGATCGACTATTTGAAGTAAACAATGTTTATATTTCCTACAAATTTAAATAAAATTTAGCTTTATTGTGGCTTTTTGAAGGTATAAAAACCGTGGAAACGGTGAATTACTATAATAGATTGAAAGTAATTATTAAACTGTGATCTCGACTACGACTGAAATTATCGAAGTAGAATACTATTTCGTTGACGTTGTATTAGATTTCAATAGTATTCATGAGAATATTGTTTGATATTTTCAATATATTTTATGCTATTTACAAAATGTTACAAAATTAATGTACAGTTATGTACTGTAGTTTTGCCACAATATAATCAGTGCGAGCACGGCAATGGCTAAATGGCTTCGTTTCAATTTGAGCATATAAAAATGAGTATTTTAAAGCGTGGCCTTTCACGGTATTTAAATTTATAAAACGCCTGACAATTGATATAAAATAATCAGTGCGACCACAATGGCTCCGAAATAACAGACTATAAGGTAAATTAAACTTAAGATATGTTTTCTAAGGCGCTAAATTCGGTAAATTTTTGGCGAACAATCAATATTTTCTTTGCGTTTCCTCGACGAAAGCCGTGAACCGGTGAACGAAAGCTTGCATATTAAAGTCAAATCAGATGAAAATGCTCGTCTGAAAAATTCGGTATTTGTCGTATTTTACTAATCTGTCACGTGATTTACTACCGCCCGTACACGGTACACCGCGACACGAAATTTAGAGCAATATGAAAGTTGCTTGCCCATATATGGGCATGCAACAAAAATCATTACTGATTATTAGATTACATTGATATCGAAGGAACTAGATTCTGTCCCGAAATATCACATACTAGAACCGATCTGACCGCGCAGCTCAGTTAGCAGAGCATTGGGTTAGTATTCCAAAGGTCGTAGGTTCGATTCCCACCGTGGTCAGGCATATTTTTCAAGCTTGCCCGCTGTGGATATACACTCAGAGTAACATCACAAGCATGACAGTTCTAAAGTTATAAATGTGCAGAATAGCAGTAACGAAGGCGAAGCTGCCGAATATGCATGGTTGTTTCCTTTTAAATCCTTCAGAAAATTCAGAAATCTATAGAAATAGAAATAGTTTCTTGGGTAGAACTTTAGCCCTATTTTAAAAATTATTTACCCTTTGTTGTTTGATTGTTTGGTGGTGGTGGTGGTGGTGGTGGTTGTTGTTGTTTTGCGGTGGGTGGGGCGAGTGTGTCGTGATAGCGGTGTCCCTAAACTGCGTAAAGAGTTCGATGGTTACATTTTCGTCAAGTGTTATATCCATAGAAATATTAGGCCTAGAATGCGTGCTTGACTGCTTGAGTTGGAGTGCTTATAATAAAGCTTCGAAATAACACTCGATAATCGTATACAAATAAAAAACCCTTTATATAAAACTATAAGGTATGACTACAAACTGTCAAAAACCTTCTCTAAAACTATCCCGAATCATGTGTTTTGTTCTGTTCAAAAACCCCGGATGTAGCATGATATTCACACGCGTGATACCCACGCACTATTCTCGTGCAAAAACAATGTAAACAATATATATAGTTTCAATCGTCAGTACACTCCCCCAAATTTTACTAATGCAGTTATAAACTTTCAACGATAACTAATGTCAAAGTCGTCTTGCCATTGCTCCTATACGATAGCAGCCGTTCGTCTTGGTTTTCCACCATTCGCTGATGAATCTGAAGGTAGTTGCTCTACGATATGTCTGCCGGCCGTTTGTAGACATCATCGTTCTTTGCCCCCACACCACGCACCCACTTCAATAGGAACAAGATGTTGAATAGCTCTTCTCGTTATATGTTCTTTACCATTCTCGCCGTTGACTCGTAAAATTGCCGCCCTTACCTTTCCGTCGGCTCCAGGAAGCAACTCTTCGATTATTGCTAGTCGCCAGAACGCCCTGGGCGTTGAGTCTGCTTTAATAATCACTACTTCTCCCTTCGCAAATTCCCTCGATTTGGAACTCTTCGATTTAATTGTTGATTGTTCTCGCAAACTTGTCAAATATTCACGACGCCATCGAGTTGTTAATTGGCGTAGCACGTTCTTGTGATGACGAATTCGTTTAGTAAGAAAGTTAACTATTCCTACTCACTACCTCGTGGTGGGAACTATTAGGTTGAGTGGTTATTCGCTGTCCATAGATGAGGTCTGAAGGGGTTAAAGGATACGGGACAGATTCATCATCCCCGTAAACATACGTTATCGGTCTTGCATTAATCACGGCTTCAATCTCGGTGAGAATAGTTTGAAGCTCGTCAACTGAAAGGGAAGATTTGCCAATCACCTTCTTTAATGGTCGTTTCACGCTTCGTACCAATCTTTCGCAAAATCCGCCCCACCACGGGGCCCGCTCTACGATGAATTTCCATGAAATACCCTTCTCTACTAGGAACTATTCTACTTCTGGTGAACGAACAATTTTCCTTAATTCCTTGTCTGCAGCCTTAAACGTCTTTGCGTTGTCAGAAAGGAGTGTTGCTGGTAGTCCCCGTCGGCTCGCAAGCCATCAAGAAGACTGCAACACTAAGACCTTGAGTTAGTTCTAGGTGCACTGCTCTGGTTGAGGCACATGTAAATAGTAATACGTAATGTTTTTCAGAATTTGTCTCTTGCGCACTCGAACTTCTGTCTCGGTGACGATTAGCTACGTCGGAGAGGCCCAGCGAAATCCAGGCCAGTATGGGTGAAAGGTGGATCACTGCAACTCGAACTCCCGGAAGATCAGGTGATGGTGGGGCCTTGAATGGGGTACCTTCGTATCTTGCGCAAACTAAACATTTGTTCAAAACTCTCTCTATGCTTTCTCGCCGTCGTAGGACCCAAAAACACTCTTGGATCGTGGTTAATGTACATCGAACGCCACTATGTTTCGTTGAGTTGTGCACATTTAGGATCAACAATTCAACAAGGTGATTCTTGGATGGCATGAATACCGGATTCTTGCAATTGTTCGGTAAAGGTGAATTGTTAATACGTCCCTTGCATCGAATAACACCGCTTTCGTCGCAAAAAAGACCAAACTGGCTCGTATAAGTCGTGTTCGATAGTTGCTTAGAACCTTTCGTCAGAAGTTTGTGTTCAGATGGAAACGATTCACGCTGTACGGACTTGATCCAAAGAGTTTCCGCTTCACTTATCTCCTTTCCGTTTAGTTCCTTCGTTGTTTCATATCGATTTTTGTTTTTAACTCTTGCATTTCGTATAAATCGAAGTACATACGCTGTAACTCGTACTAATCGCGTTAGACAACTGTATCGTTTAATATCAATGACCTTTGCTACATCATTGTCGTCCGGACTTGCTTCGTTGATCGTTAAGGTATGAATAACCTCGAGTGGTCGTTTAACCATTTCTACTGCTGCATCCTCGTTGATTGTGCTTCCTTGTGCCGTTACGTCTTTGGGCCAGGTCGCGGGCGAATGATAGAGGAAGTCTGGACCCTTTCACCACATCTCATTACATGAGAATTCCTTGGCTTCGAGTCCACGAGACGGCAGGTCAGCGGGATTTTGAGTACCTGGACAAAATCGCACGAATTAACACATGTTAAGCTTCGAATCTCTGCAACTCTATTTCGAATATATTGTTTCCAGGCTCGATCATTTTTGATCCAACATAACGACGCTGTCGAATTAATCCACCCAGTGAGTGATGTCTATCTCACCAAGAATATCTTTTTTTTCCTGGTTAATCTCGTGAGAATCAACGCCCCTAACAACACTAAACGCGGAATACTCTGTCGTTTGGTTGGTGCAACTCTTGTTTTTGCAGCAACTAACGAAATTTGAATTCGGCCGTCGCCGTAAACAGATCGTAACTAGGGACCTTAAGCATGTACGACGGCAACACGACGACGACAGCCAAAACAAACCTCTTTAAATAAATTATTGCGAAGAAGAGTTGTTGTGTATTATCTATATATGAATTGAGTTCAGTTTGCAGAATTTAAAACAAAGGCTTTGTTGTTAAAAATGAAACAAAGGTAGTTTCACCTGTCGCGTCTTGACATGTTTGCGTTGTACACGAGACGTGAAAATCTCTGGTTTGCCGTTGTAAAAAGCCCTAACACAACGTCTCTAACTCATGTGGGGCTATTAGTTATTCATTTCTTTTGTACGAGATCAAGAATATCATTGTGTGAATAGCGGTCGTCGTCGCTAGACGTACTAGATTACTGCGCCGTACGCTTGACATACTAGATTACTGCGCCGTACGCTTGTTTTGAAGCATCGCTAAAACCATGGAATTCGACTGTTACCGGGTTCGTGTCCGTGCAGAAATAATACCTGGGAACTCGTATTGAATTTAAATGAACAATCTCTTGTCGTATGGTCAAAAATTCCAGCCTTAACTCGCCATTTAGTTCTTGGTCCCAGTCTACTTGATCGAGACAAAGGATTTGAAATAAAATCTTTAACGTTACCGTGAACGGAGAAAGCGGACCGAGTGGATCGAAGATCTTGGCTACAACCTTTAGCAAAGAACGCTTCGTAATGGATAACGAATTTGCATAATCTTGCAATTCTGAAAAATCAAACGAAATCGTGTCCGAGCAGGTATTCCAACGAACACCTAATACTTTGACAGCGTCCCCTGTACCAGTCTCTTGACTAGTGGACAATTTCGCAAACGATTCATCATCATCACCCGAAACAACTTGCTCTCTTTGGCTCACGCATTTCGACTGAACTCGCTCGATTCGGTCCATCACTTCCTTGGAATTGGAATTCCATTTTCGAAGGCCGCCAGCCGCCATGATCTCCTTCGATCTTTCGTAGATATCAAACGCCTTCGAGATACTTTTCTCCCCCGTCACTAAATCGTCAACGTAGAACGCTTTCGATAGTAGCTCCGCCATTTCTGGTTCGCTTTTCTTATACGAGTCGAGGTGATGTTGTATTACAGATCCCAAAATCGAAGGGAATGGCCTAAGCCCGAACAAATCTAAGAACAACTGTTGCAAGATCATCACTAAAGGGGTCGTCAAACCAAAGAAAGCGAAGCATGTCTCTGTGTTCGTTGTTCATGCCGACCATAAGAAATGCCTTCTCGATATCAGCCGTAATCGCGATGGGGGTTGGATCGAAATCTCACGAGCATATCGAACAGATAAGGAATGTAATTCGGTCCAGTTTCTAGAGAGTTGTTCAAAGACTGCCTCCTCCGCAGGCACTCGCTGCGTCATGGGAAGGTCACGATCTGGCGAGGGCCTGCGGAATCTTGTAAAAAACTGGCGCTGGCGTCACGTCAGCAAGTAAATTTCTACATAATCTTGAATATAAACAGGATATAAAAAAGCGGCTTGAAACTTGTAAAGTAAACTGGCGACTCTTAGGACGTGGAAGGAAACATTTTTTAACGATAAGGTTTGCTATCCTCACCAACGTTGCACGAATAAAACTGCCTAGCTTCTTTAACGAAGCAGGTTCAAAACAACATTTATTCATTTTACAAGATTCCGAGTAGGTTTGGTTGATTTCGTAATTTACGTATGTTTACGGTGCAAGGACAATAAACGGCTGTTACACGATTCGTAGTTGCTGGGTAGGGGTAAACGATCATGCTTCCACGGCACACTTACTTCGTAACGTTGCCCATTAAACACTACGTCAGAGAACAACTCGCTAGAGACAGGGTTTGATTCACTCATCCCTTCGTCACAAATTCCAATGGCTTCGACATCGAAAATTTTACTAATAATCAGTAAGATTGATATTGGGCGATAATTTTCACATTTTTTCCTATCTTCAGATTTAAAGATATGTACAATCCAAGCCAATCATCTATGTAGACTCCGGTTTTGATACAAAGGTTAGAAATCCACGTTAGAGAAGGGCCAATTATTTCAGCTGAGATTTTAAATACCCTTGCGGGGATAGAATCCATGCCTGTCGATTTTG